TCGAAACCGCCCGTGGCACGATGATACAAACAATAATCGACATCCTCACGAGGTAGGTTACTTTTGGCCTCATCGTCTACAAGACTACGACATCAACCTCGTCGCCTACAAGACTACCTTTTCTGAAGTGAGTGGTTCGAGAGTTTCACTGCGAGACGGCCGTCCTTTTTTCTAGGCAATGCGCCTTCACACCTCAAAAGACGCAGAACCATTTTGACACGATTAGGTGTCATATTTGGCTGCGCTCCGCAGACGAGTTGCTGTCTGGTCGATAGCAGCTATACGTCACGGTTGCTGCAGTTGAGACAGCGGACTACCAGTTGCACCAGTTGCTAACTGGGACTGGGATGGCAAGTTGCGAGAAATGCAAAAAAGTTACAACACTTAATTTTCGGGTTGGAAGCAGTTGAACGCATCAGATGTTCATCTTATTGGCGCAGAAAAGTGATAGACCAAGCTTGAAACCGTGTCTGTGTACGCATCAAAGTTGCACGCGAGACAAGTTTTGATGTTTGCAGGCGGCAGTTGCCGCCCGAGCCACGCCATAGCAGCGCCGCTTTCTGTCGCGCTCTCGCCTCCTTTGCGAGCACGGCTAGCCTTGGGCAGGTTTCTCACCCGCTACTGGCGCCGCTGATCTGCCCCTTTGTGCCTTTGCCACCCCACCAGGCAGACTTCTCACCAGGTACTGCTGCTGATCTGCCTTCCTTGTGTCCTGCCAGCACAGGCTTCGGCCCTACAAGTGTTGGCCAGGATGCCCCCTTTGCACCCTGCCACCCCACCAGTTTACATTAGGCACATTTCTCAGCAGCTTTGCATCCTGCCCAGGACTGTCCGGCAACAACCCAGCCTGGCTGCGCCGCCCAAAAACCCACGACACGCCGCAAAAGCCAGAGGCTGGGAAGCCCGTGGCTTTTTTCCGAAACCTCCGTGGTGCGTCGCGCATCGTGGTGCGTCCTTGGATTTTTGGGCCACGTGGCTCTTTGATTAGGACACATCTCTCCAGCTACCCACAAGCAATTCTCCCCATCGTGGTACGCGGTGGCTTTTTTGGCTTTTTGGGCATCACATTTGCGAACGCGTGTCGGCTAATGAGAGTTGCTTCAGTCGCTCTGCCTCGCTTTGCTCACCGTCTTCTGGGCGGCATTCGCCGCCCTATGCCCGCTCGTGCACTGTCAGCACATGCGTGCTGCGCGCGACTGGCCTTCGCGGCAAATGCTTGCGTGCTGCCAGCGACACGCGTAGCTCAAGCAGCGGCCGCCTTCTTAACTTGATCCCTCAGCATGGCTGCGCGCGCATCAGAGCTGGCAAGAATGACTTTCTCATCGGGCTCGACGCAGCTCCGGCCGTTCTTGTGGAGACCTGCTTCGCAGCTGACGCTGAACTCTTCCTTCTGGTGAAAGAGCTGCAGCTACGCTTGGACTGGTTTGTGTGCATATATAACTTTCCTTGCTCGCTTGTCCCTCGCTTGCTCGCAGCCCGTCGCCGCACGTTTTCGTTCGCTCGCTGCGGCACGGCGACCTCGCTTCTTGGCGAGCGCTGGCTTCCTCGCGGCGGCCAGAGCAGTAATGCATCGTCATGCGGCGGGGCCGTAAGACAGTTAAAGCAATTTGTTCTTGGCTTGCGTCAGTTTCAACTGACTGGTAAAGCCGCGGCTGTTGCTGGCGTTGTCACCCACGGCAAAGATTTTGGTTTTGCCTTGACCTTTCTCGCCCTTGCCGGAGTCTTTTTCCTTTCTGACACCACAGTTGCCTTTCTTCCCCAAGAGGACTGATCAATGGTGCCATGTTGGCCTTGCCGCTTGGTTGCGGCTTTTTGAAAGATTGAAAGCGGCCTCTTCAGCGCCTCTCCCCTTTTCTACCTTTTCGCCCCTTGCCAGACTGAAGAGTCCGACGCTGAAGCCTCTTCATGCCTCTTCAAAATGCTTTTCCGTCATCTAATGGACAAAAACCTTTGGCGCCTTTGTCATTTTCTACCAGAATCCTTCTTCTCCTTCAAAGCCACCTTTTGCCGGGATATAGAAGGTGAATACCTCTCGGAACTTGTGAAGACAATGTAAGGATGTTGTCGGACAGTGGAAAGCCTGTGTGTTGCGTTCTTCTTCCTGGGGCAAATTGGCAAAAGTTCGATTGAAAGTTGCATGGGAAGACTGGATCGGGCACTGTGGGAACTGCGGCTCCTTGACTTGCCCCCAGAGGAAATCTTGAATTTCGAGTTGCCTGTACCTGGCGATGATTGAAGAAACTGAGGAATCTACAACACAGGAACACATTCTGGGTGCCCCGTGAAGGATTCAGGAAACACTCCACCCCATTCCCAGGATCTATGAGTTTGTCATTGTCCAGGAATTCTCGGCTTATGGGAGTGGAGCTGCCCTCCGATTCAGCTCAATGGCTGTGAATGTAAGTCAGCCCTTTACCAGATCTTCATACTGAAGCCAACCCTCGCACGACGGAGGCAGTTGCGAATTCGTCGGTAAGTTGATGGTCGCCTCACGTGAACGTGTTCCGCCGTTATGAGGGCTTCCAAGAAAAGCTGCGGCGGAATCTGTTCCGTAGAAGTCCTCTTCACTTGACATCCTGCTTTCAAGAAAACCTGCTCCGCTACCCTGGAGGTTGCAAAATACGGGATCCCAAGTCGGCCCCAGGCAATAAGCCCCATGGATGTATGGCGCCAAATATGCAATGAGGACCAAAATATGTAAATAGCAGTGTTTGTTTTTAATGGAAGCAAACATACAAGTACCACAAGTCAGCAAGCTGTGAGCCACGTGGTGATAGTGCGTGAGTGGATCTGTTGGAAGCAAGTGAAGCAACCAAACTTGATGTCTGATAGATCAAGTGCTGGAAGTCCCTGGTATATGCACCCTTACCGTTGCCATATTTTGTAACATATGGGACTTGCCCTGCACCAGCGTGATTTGCGTGCAAAAAGGCTGCTAGATCATACCGGCACGGGTTGTCGCATCACACCGAACGCCTTGTTGCTTGAAATCTTGCCACATGGAAGTGTTCCACATCTGGTCAATACCAAACAAACTCGGAACTTGGCCTTGCTCATGGGTAACCATGTCTTTTTTCAACAAGGGCTGGTTTCTTCCTAGGGCTGGACATCCGCCGGGCTGGCAACATCCCCAGCGTCACCAGCATCACTTGGCCCTGGGTCTGCCTATTGGCTCTGATTTAATGGCGGTTGGGAGTTCTGGGGTCTGGTTTAAGTTAAGGGGGTGTTGGCTGGCTTAGATCTTCACGAGGGCAGGTTGACTTGGACGAAGCGAAGGGCTGACGCCCAGGCTGCTGTTGGGCGGGTTTAGGGTTGGCCTTGAGTGGTTTGGGTTGGCTTTAGGGTTGCTTTAGGGTGTGATTACAGCTTTGGCATCCTTTATCAAGAATAGATCCATATTTGGGATTGTCCGAGCCCCACTAAGAGCCCCGTTTTTGCAACCTCACAAGAGCTGGCGGTTGGAAGGTGGCCAAAATCTGCGCTAAACAGCGCAGAAACACGCAAGACCAAATCCAAGGAACGCACGAGGAACAATTACAAGAAACGCGCGTGTCTGCTTGCTGCTGCGGGCATGTTTCAACACAACACAGAGGCATGTCTTTCCGAACTAGCGCTGGGAACGCAGGCAGAGGTTGCGAGAGAGCACCGAGCAGATGGCCCTTATTCACGTGGAAACCATGCTACGCAACGCTGGAGGCCGATGTCTATTGGTGGCGGAAGAGAACATCAGGTTGGCCACTAAGGAGGAGTTATCTTTCTCGGCAGCGGCTGAGGTGGATATGCAGATAGCCGCCGAGACCCCAAGCTTAGCCCCAAGGAGTGAGGTTCTGGACGACGGGGCCGTGCGTCGTTTGTGAAGGAGGCTTGGAAGATCCCGGGCTACGGTTGGAAGAACAGCAGCGGACCAGCTGCAAGAGGAGGAGCAGCAGCAAAGGAGAAAGTCATGGGCTTGGAGGTGGCCTCGGCAAGAATTCACCGGATGCGGGGCTTAAGGAAGGCTCTGAAGAAGAAGGGGATTGAGGATGTTTGTCCAGGAGGCAAGGCTGCGGTGCGGACCAGTGTGAGGAGTTCACTGGTCTCTGGTTCGAAGAGGTGAAGGAGGACTGCTGGCGGAAGTGCTGATGCTGCAGCAGAAGAAGAATGGCAAGGAGCTAGACGTGAAGTACTTCGACCAGGCTGAGAAGGCGAAGTTCAAGGTGTCCGACCAGTGGGGGTGGTGGGTGACAAGAGCAACCCGGCCGATCAAGCGCTGAAGCGCAGGTGAACCTGCCTTTCAACACCAAGCTTTTGCCGTTCACCTTCCTTGGCATCGATCTGGCCAGGGCAAGAAGGGTGTCCTCACGAACTACGTCAAGAAGATCGCTGCGGACGTCTGAACATGCAGATGAGATGGCCGGCGCAGCGCGCCGTGTCGCAGATGCCCGACAAGATGAGGAGACTGTCCCGGAGGGTCAACAAGGCGGTGGTCAAGGATCACACAGAGGCCATGGCGGCGTTGGAAAGAACACTTTTGCTTTCTGTTGCCAACGCCGCGCTTGCTCGCACGAGTACGCCTACTATAAGGGCCAGGCAGTGGGATCTGGCAACACGCAGCGACCCAGCTGCGTCGGCAGCATCGTCGCGGGCATCCTCCATCCCCCCATCCATCCATCCATCCATCCATCCACCCACCATCCATCCTTCCATCCATCCATCTAGCCATGGGAGAATTAGCTTTGTTTAGGTGGAGTCGCTTCATGAAGAACCCCTAAACCCCACCACCAATGAAGGGTTAGGCACGTGCCTTGTTCGCCAGGGCAAAAACGATGGCTGTTTGGGTTCCATACGAGATCCCGCAGCCTCATCCAAATTCGAGATCTGCTAGTTGAAGGAACATGGTTGCGCATAGACACATGCTGCGCATATCTAGCAGGCTAATCCGGTACCCAAAATTCATTTTGGGGGCACGCCCATCAGCACGACCATGTGTGGATGGTATCAGCACGAGGCGTCAGTTGCGCCTGGAGCAGCACATCTGGGTCCCGGAGGGAGTAGAGGTCGTCGATCTCAGGCTATCGCTCCATTTTAGCTTCCGCTCCATTTGAACAAAAAGGCAACGTTCAATCTTCTTGGAAAACTGGCCGTGCGCGCGTTAACATGAATGACCATATCCGGCGTTGTCCTCGCGCACAGTGGCAACTGCAGCTCTACTCTTGTCCTCCAAGCCATCATTCCCGAGTTTCAGCCTTTGGTGTTGGGTGCAAAACGAGTCCAAAAATGAAGCTGCCCCTTGGCCGCTTATCTTGCGTGGCTCCTGGTTCAGGGGAAGCCGGCCTTTATGTTTCCTTACGCGCGCAAGTCTCGTAGCAAGACCGCCAGGTGGTGTTTGAACCTGCCCTTCAATTGCCCGCTCTCCGTGTTGTTCTTCTTCCAGGGTGCGGTTTTGGGCGGGAAAGGGGTGAGCCCACAGAATCAAACGAGTCAAGGCCAAAGCTCAGGTGGAAAGTGACCAGGTTGAGGGACGTGACAGGTGTAAGAAAATTTGTTGTGTGCCACGCGTGACGGCATCAGCTCTCATCATCGTTGCCGCGGGCCTTTGGTGGTAGGAGGTGTCCGACGGGCTGCTAAGGAGGCCCCGCCGGGTTTAATCTTCAAAGCCTTTTGCAACTCGTTTCCCCTTTAACCCTCAAAACCAAAAAACCCTGACGGGACAAGCTTGAGCCAAAAACGGCATAGGCCGTTTGAAGATAATCACAGGAACAAAACACCCCCCCTCTTCCAAAGTCTGCACAAGATGTGGGAGTTGAGTTCACACTGAATGAAAACGTGGATGCAACAACAGATCCTTTGCGCGCCGCTCGCGTGCGGGGCGGGGGGGAAATGCGCAACGAACAACTCCTAGCTGCATCACAGTGTTTACAAATGCCCGAGCAAGTGTAAAGATAGGTGATGCGAGACGCGCCCCGTCCAGCCACGCGAACGGAGGGCTCCCACGCGCGCAGCAACTTAGCACATTCGGAGCAGCGGCGCGTGGCAGTGGAGTTCATCACATTGGCAGCAGTGCCTGAAAATGTGCTGTAAAGCACTGCGCAGCAGCTCAGCCATGAAAAGGTGCCAGCGGAGCTGAGCGCGACTTCTTCTTGGACGCGGGCTGTTAGAGGAACACTGCGAGCGGGCTTTTATCCTCAGGGGTGGCACCCAAGGCAGACTCTGGCTCAGGGAGCTTTGCAGGAAGAGCGGGGTCCGCATCAAAAATATCAGCAACAGGTCAACAGTCGCTGGCTGGAGGTGGGCTTAGCAGGGGAAGGGGGGTGTGAGGAGCGGGGTCTGTTGACACACTCATCAATGGCCAGCAGCCACCCAAACAAAAGCGGCGCGATGACAACATGTTCGGCGAGACGTTGGACGTTGCTTCAACTCTGACCCAGTCGCCGTAATGGGGAGGATCGGTGACAAGAGCGAAGCTCGATCAGCTGCGCCTTAGGAACGTAGAAGGGTTTTCAAGCTCCCTTTGTTCAAGTTGAAGTTACAGTGGTAAGGCACCTACCCCGTTCGGCCGCATGTGGCCCGGCTCCTCGAAAAACTCGGAGGCAGGAGTTCCTCGATCGACTGATGACTCGCGTCGCGTCGACGACATCATGCTGGATGCTCTCCGACAACTTTTGAAGAGTGAGACGAGCGTCAGCTCACTCCATGTGCTTGGGCGCTGCGGAGCGTATGGTTTTGGCGCGAACCGCGTGGGAGTGCAACTAGAGCGCGGAAGCTTGACGCCATCTGGACCCGCAGCTGTGCATTAACACGGCGCCTTCAAACGCAGGACAAAATCACCCTGTCGGCATGATGTGGTCTGTAGAAGCTTGGCGAGTAGCAGTAAGCGCGCAGGTTGGCGCAAATGACCTCTGCTGCGCGCAGCGCAGTACGCCCTCCTGAAGCTTCGAAGTGCGTGCGATGGTAGTCGCGAAAGGGGGGGTGAAGTTGTTGTCGCACATCCACGAACGCGCGCAGATGATGGAGTTATTGTCTTACAAGCCACGGCGCGCCAGTAGCCGGTTGCGATGTTTTCGCGCGCCCGTGTGCCATTTTGTCGGGCGACCTGGAGAACCATGTGGCCATGTTTTCCGCCAATGGCCGTGAAGTGAAAGACCGTGAAGTGCAAGCAATGGCGGTGACTAATAGCAATGGCCATGGCCGTGAAAAATCAATGTTCATGTGGTTTTGGAGAAGAACGATAAAAGCTTGTCCGGGAAGTACCTAGCATCGATTCCTGCAACTACATATCAGGGATCAGCACGCTGCTGACGGCTGCACGCTACTGGGTGTATTCGTCACGCAGTCCTCTGGGCACTCGTCGTGGTCACGCGTGGGGATCTCTCTAGGCGCCCGCCCCTTCTGGGCAGTTGCGCCAACGTCTTGGGCGCCAGCCACTTTGCAGCAAGCGGCAGGCAAACGGGGCTGCCATAGTAAGTGAATGGGCACCGTGCCCGGAATGACTTAAGTCGTGATCAGTGTCTGCGCCAATCTCCAGGGAGCGCGCGCCGAACCGGGCACTCGTTGCTGCCGCACACCGCGATGATGCGGCCAGGATGGTCTTTGTCTCAGCGTGCCTCCTGCGCTGCGGATGAGCTCTGGCCCTGCGGCCGCTGCAAACTTCATCACGAACGAAGCCGGGGAAGTAGCTAAGCAGCTCCCTCGCAGCAGGCGCCAAGGCCTTTGTGGAGCTTGGCGTCGTGCTTCAGGAGGGCTATGGGGCCGGCACGCATGGAGCGCAGTCTCCCATCTCCACAAGTTCCTTCGCAGCATCAGACCTCCACGCTTGGTGCGGTTGATCGATTCGAAGGCTAAGGTTTGCAAGCAGAGAGCGGCGGTGGCGTTCCCGATCCTGGGGGCGATGGTCTCGTTCAGGCGCAGTTCCAGGGCGCGCTTGCTGCGATCGATCGCGTCATGATTGAAATCCTCTAGACGGCGACGGGCGTCGGGTTCAGCCTGTACGGCGCCACCGGCTCAGGTTTGTCAGGTCGGACAAGTTGCCCCGATCAAATTCAAAACTCGGGACGCCAACTTCACGGCCGGCGCGTGTGCTGTGTGGGAATGGCGCGCCTTGCAAACAGGACTGTCATCTGCTGCGGTATCCCATGCAGCGTGCTGGCCGGAGTCCTTCTCATCTCCAAACACTCACGGCCAACACGCACTTGGCCTCGGCCCGCGACCCAATCGTCATTGCCCTTGCATGCTTGAGGGGGGGGCGTAAACGAAAATCGGACTGCCAACCTTTCTACTGTCGCCCTCCGCTAGGTATCGAGATGTGGATGGTGTCTTGGCCTGCTCACCGGCCTGTTTGGCCTGCAAGGGCTCGCCACCAGCTGCTCTTGCCCAGCCTCTTTCATCTTGACAGCCCAGACGAGCCGTAGATCAGCAATATGAGGGCCGTGGGGCGCCCGAACCTAGTGGAGCTTAAGAGGGGGTCATTTTTCCCATGGCCCCAAGGACGCATGCAATGCTCCAAATTGGCTTTTTAAGAGGATGTTGAATGTTCAGCTATATTCCGTGCAAGGATCTCAGACCCCAACAAGGCTACGCGGCGATCTGCCCCGTTTGCCGCTATGCGTTTCATTGCTGCAGCCTGGCGCCGTGCTTTGCTTGCTTGGGGCACCGTGGAAGAACTTGGTTGCCGGGACCCAGCGCCTGGCTTGCCGGGATCCGGCGCCATGGAAAGTTTGGCGGACCCGGCTTTTCGTTGGATCCTTGGTTGCTGGGGCCCGGCGCCTGCTTGCCGGGACCTGGACGAACTTGATTGCCCGGACCCGGCGCCCGGCGCCCTGAAACAACTGAAGCAACCGACACCTAGCCTGCCGGGGCCCGGCGCCCTGGAAAGTTTTCTCGGATGGGTGGCCTACTTGCTACGTAGTTGGCGAACTTAAGCGACTTGCTAAGCCACTTGCAAGTTGCCTAACTTGAGTTAATAGGACTCAGCGGACTTACTATAGGACTCCTGGCTACGTCCACTTGGCTAAGTTAGAGGATTTAGCTAACTACTTAGAACTGCTCAGCATCTGCTTAGCTAGGTCCTCTAACTCGCCAAATGGACTTAGCCAGGTTGTAAGTCCGCTAAGTCAGACTTAGCGCGCTTACTAACTCAAGTTAGGCAACTTGCAAGCGGCTTAGCAAATCGCCTAAGTTCGCCAATTACATAGCAAGCAGACCGGAAAGTTTGGTCCGGGGACCCGGCTCCCTGCAAGAACTTGATTGTCGGGACCCGGCGCCTAGCTTGCCGGGACCCGGCGGCGTAAAAAAAACTATGGTTGCCGCGACCCGGCGCCCAAGAAGAACTTGATTGATTGCCGGGACCCGGCGCCTACTAGCCCAGCTCCTGCCCACCCAAGTTGTACTTAGCTGCCATGTTCGTCCATTGCATCGGTGATTTTGTCGATGTCCGCCGCCAGATCTTTTGAGCTTTCCCAGGCCTTATGATGAGCTTCCATGGGAAACATCAATGGCAGACTGGAGTAACGCAGTTCATTTTTTCAGTCGTTTGGGTTGGCCGACCAACAAGCAACCAACAACATAATTTACTAGTAGCACATCGCCAAGGTTCCGACTCTTTGAGTTTGTCCGATATCATCCCCAGTCTGACCCTGGAGTATCTTCAGCTTGTCAGTCATGACTGGCATGGCGTTGGCTGCTGTTACAGCCAAAGCAATGTACTGACAGTAGTAAGTAAGCCAATGGCAGCTCCAGGCAGGACAAGTCACCCTCTTAAAAAGCCAATGTAGAACTGTAGAACATTAACAGCGGGGGCAAAATAGTCGGCTTCCCGTGTGCGGTCGCGTATCTTGTTTCCTCCAGACTATCCGCCAAAGGTCACGACCACCGCCAGTGGGTTCCTGGAACACGGACGCAGTCGGGACCGTGGCGTCGTGCGGAAGGCGTTCGTCACTTGTGCCAGCGGCGGCAAGCGACGACGAGACCTGACCTGGCGTGTGGGTGACGGGCGACGGCCCGCCCCGTTTAGAACATCAACGCCCAGGTGCTTTTCGATTGAGCGGAACGAGAACGCTGCAGGAAAACCTGGACACCAAAAACAGATGCGGACATTGGGAACACGGATGGCTCCAACATGTCCGCGAGGAGCTTTCCAAACAGCTGAGCTGGCGTCTGGCAAGAACTGTTGGTCCCTTTCCTCCCCGGCGCACGCCGGTCCTGCAGATCTGGCAATCCAATCGGAGTTGGGACAGACTCCACGGGAGCACAGGAGTTGGAGCCATTGGCTCCAACCACAGCTGAGAATTGCTCCAGCGCGGAGAAGTTCGAGGAGGAGATCGAGCGCACGTTCATCGAGGAGCGAGACATGGGCATGGTGCTTGGCCCGCTCTCCAAAGTTGAGGCGGCTAAGGTCTGCGGATGCAAGCCGGGAGAGCTCTGCGTGGGAGCAATGGCAGCTATCCAGGAGGCAGTCCGCACTATCTTCGACGCCACCATCATAGGTGTGCATGACAACATTTGCTCACATCAACAAGAAGACAACCTTGCCCAACTTGCTGTGGGCTCGGGGAGGGCTGGAAGTCCATGATTGCGACCAGGTTGCATCTCCATTGACCAGTCCATGACGAAAGGGCGGCGCCTGATGGTCTGGGACCATGGATAGAGCCAACCTGGCAAGAAAGTACAAGGTGACCTGGCTTACACTTCCTGGTCAGTTTCTGTCCCAAACATGCAGGGGTTGGAGGTGCGGCGAAGAGTGGGAAAGGCCTTAGCAACCCGCTCTGCAAGAGGGGCAGGAGAGACATGACTTGTGGTTTCGTGTGGAGTTCCCCCGCATGAAGGCCAGCATCGGTGCCCGACAAACTGCGCTTGCCGTATTTCAGCCATTCCTGGAGCGCTCGGGGTGCGGTCAGGATCGCTCCCTGGTACGTCTGGTTTGGCTGCTCTGTTGGGTCACTCAGGGTTAGAGGCAGAGCGTCTAAACCACCAGCACGACTGATCAAACCATGAGAGGTACTGTGATACCAAACGCTACTAAACCTCGACGCTCGCCCGTCGGCGCGTCCGCTGTGCCCAGACGCATTTTGTTCATCCGCCTGGCTGGTGCCACTGGTAGCAGGACCGGGTTGGACGATTTGGCACGTGTGGTGGCGGAATCGGGTTTGCCAGAGACGGAGAGGTTGGAGCGCTATTTGATTCCGTTTTAATGAGGGAGGCCACAACCGTGACCCACCAGCCACAGCTGTTTGGCACGGCTGATAACGGAGTAGCCCAAAGAATCAAACGAAGCCAATCGCAAAGATCAGGTCCGAGACCTCCTTGGCGGCCCGCCGGAAACGTCCCACCAGCAGAGGCCCGCGGCACCGCAACTCCTTTTGCAACGATGAGGGCCGACTCTGTTGTAGCGTCCGCGCGTGGAGGCACCAAACGGTATAGGTCGGTTGAAGACAAACACCACGGGAACAAAACACAGACACGGACAAATGTCCAGCAACCTCATTCACCATCAGGCACGACGGCTCGCAACGCCTTTCGACAATGTTGCGCCCCTGTCAGGGAAAACCCAAACATGCCCAACACAACATTCGGCGCCCGCCACTTGAAACCCACAGCCCCTTCAAAGGGCCATGCGACACACGGTTGATTGCAACCCGGCCTGCGGCGTGTCTCGCGTGGCATCGGTTGAGCTGCCCTGGGAACCCGCGCGAGGAAGCTCAAAACATCAGACGCACGCACCTGCCTCCAGCTACCAGTGGTAACCAAGGGAACCGCCGCCGCTTCCCGGGTAGCCTTCTATTGTTGCATGTTGAGGAGGTTGTCAATATGTTTAACGGGGTTCGCAATTTGTTTGACCCAAATATAAGCGCACTTGCCAAATGATGGGGATGTGTGCGACGTCGAGCTTGGCTACTCTCTGGAAATCAGGCATTGGATTGAGACGTTGGTGCGGTCGCTTCTGGTGTTTCAAGGGAATCAACCACAAATCACAAGAACAAGTGTTGGTGCTCAGCCGGTTCCGATTGCAGCACGCACTCCGCAAAGCCATCTCTCCCACCGCCGCGACCAACGTTGCCCGGCCGCACTGTCGGGGAAGGTGGGCAGCTCTGCGGCAGGTGCGTGAGCCAAGTTTGCCACACTGAGCTGCTCACGGTTTCTTTGCTTTCAGACGAAGCACTGTCTACAGCAACCTCAAGATACAGAGGGCTGCGACGTCCCTTGGATTCTTCGAACGTCCCTTTGCAATTTGGTGCTCCTGCTCGTTCCGGCTGGCAAAGCACACTGTCGAAACTGTAATTTTTTCAGCTGGGGCTTGCCTGGCATAAGCTGACCCAAAATGGCTTCGTTGCGGTTTCCCTTTTGGCTACATTTCCTGCGGTCGTTGGTCGTGGGGCTATGGCCGTGAAAAAAGGCTCAGCCAACCGAATGGCAGTGAAGAAAAACGCATGAGTGGCCGTGTGTAACGCGTGAATGGCCGTGAAACACGGGCCGGAACCGGGAAAAATCGCGAAGCGCCAGCAATGGCCAGAAAAAACAATGGCCGTGAAAGGCCGTTTTCATGGCCCTGAGCAGAATGACCGCGTGAAATGTGGTTGCAGGGTTGTCCAGGAGATTCAACCGCCACTCACAAGCAGGGCTTGGTTACTTGAACACAAACAAACACATGCAAGAAACACGGACACACGCGCGATATCTCTGCTAAATAATCAACGACTCGCTTCTCTGCGTTTTCGCAGACCCAACAGAAATGGAAATGCGCGAGAGAGCCCCTGAGGCGCCCTGCGGAAGCCACGCCCTCTTGGCACCGGAGCGAGCAGCACAGCCGGACCTGCGAAGGCCCTATAACAAGAGTTAAGGTTGACATTGTTTGAAGCAGGAAACCAAAAGAAACGCTACACAACAAAAGGGTTTTGCACTCGAAGGGTTCTGAGAACCTTTTCTGAGGGTGTCGGGATGTGGTCCGACTGCATCTCTTGAAAATACGTCACCAACGCGCAAATTGGCGAACCAAAACATGTTCCCCGCTCCTCTGCCAAATGACCATGGAACATCAAAAATGCGTCCTCCCAGAGGTACCTGAAAGGGGATGTGGATTTGGGCTGGCCATTGCTCTGTCCCGCGACGGCAAAGCCATCGCAACATCTTGCGGGCCCACTGGATTTAGAGGGAAGCAGATAGACCTTGAAACTGCGGCTTCGCGGCTTCGCGGTTGTCTACAGGCACCAGTCGTTCGCGAGGAGTAAGCGCTTCAACCTTGGTGAGTCGGTAGCACCTGCTGCGGCCGCCTACATGCGAGCAACCATTCGTTTGGAGAAGGGGCGCGCGCAACTTCCAGGGAAGCCCCCTGCAGTTTCCGCATGAAACATCTTCAAACAGCAGCAGCAGCAGCAGCAGCAGCAGCAGCGAATATACAAGTGGAATGCGTACAAATGTCCTTGATTCAACTCGCACTTGCGATGTCAAACACGAGTCAACAAAAAATTGGTGGAGGGGTAGGGTCATTTGCATCATTTACTGAAACTGTCTGCTTCCATGCATTGAGGTTCGTTGGCCTGACATCCCATCCTCAGATATCCGATCCTTAGATCAGCGCCACAATCACAGGCTGGTCCAGCGTCATTGCTCTGGCCACGAGAAACGCTTTGAGACGCTTTGAGATTGTTTGCCCTCTCATAGGCCCAAGGCCGTGGAATTGCTGCGTTGCCAGTCGCCTCGAGCGACTGTTCCTGTTTATTTGCTGCACGTATAAGGGCTGCGGCACGCAAGACCTGCAGGTGTATCTGGTTGCGCGTAACGACACAAATGGTGCGCACGCGGGGCACACGACAGTGTCTGCTATGGCAATCCACACAAGCAACACGCCAACCAAGTGGAAACCACTTAAACCTTTGTAAGTGGCCATAAAACTGTCTGGTCCTTCCAAATATAAATGCAAGGGCCCTTGACTTTGATGTGGAAAATATCAAGCCTACGCTGTCCAAACCTTTCTTCCACCCTAATTCCAAATCTCGTCGCTTGAGCGGGCGCGAGCAGCTGGCAATCTCAAGCTCCCAGCTGCAAAGAACACATGTGCCGCAGCTCCTTGTAAGAGAAAGGAGAAACTCTTGCATACACCCGTTCTATTGAAGCTCGATCGGGACTCGATATATGATTTGGTGTTGGTGATTATGTTGGTGTTTTCTGGCGTTCTTGTGTGTGCCCTGAGCAAACGATTTCCGCGTCAAGTCTCCTTGCCCCAGGTGTCAAACTGAAAAACCAAGTGCGAGTATCATGTACATATGATGGCATACCTCGAATGCATCCAAACTGTCTCACCTGAATATATGAAGTGAATTGCAGCCGACAAAGGACATGTTTTCCCAGTAAATTGGGGTGGCCCACCGCAGGGGCTGCAACCTAAATTCAACTTGCCCGTGGATGTTTGGATTGTACGTCTGGGGGTCTAAGTAAAAACCTATATGTTGCTTCATTCCTTCAAGGGCTTCAAGCAATGCTGATGCTACCAGGCCATCAGCATGCTACAAAAGACCTTGAGATGAAATGGTTTGAAGAAGCACAGGCTTGTTTTGCTTCTCTGTTTGCGTTTAAGGGAGCTGCCCTGAGAAAGCAATCGTGGCATGACATGACAGGCATCGTTGACTATCTCTACTTGTGTTTCCGTCTAATGTTGTTTGTTGGTTGTCTTGTTTGGCTGTATGCTACTGTCACTGTCGTCTCTGGTTGTCAATGTCTACCTGACTGCCTGCCTGCCCGCCTGCGAAGAACGGGCACGCGTGTTTGTGACTGGATATCATCGCCGATTGTGTGACAAGGACAGGTTGCGCAGGACCGGTCAACCTGATTGAAAATAGCATTCTTGACGTTAATGCACTAATGACCCAATGGTTGCAACTTGCTTTGTGTTCCAAGTGATGGCAGAGGGCTGTAAATCCGGAGTGAGCGACTGTCGCCTGCTTGCCAAACAGCACTTTTGCTTGGACCCCCAGAACTGCAAATCAAAGATACCGTGCCAAGTCGCCCTTGCAAAAGCGTCCTGGCCACTCCAATCATCTCTGGAAGAGTATTGTGGGCGCGGCCGTCCGTCCTGGCAATGCAAAGAGACACTTTAGAACGAAACCTTGAATGACGTCAGCGTACACGCATCCAAATGCGCATTTTTTGCGGAACCACCCCAAAAGAGGGCATTGAAAGAGTACAAAACAAGTACTGAACACGGCTCATTTGCCCAAGGTGCTGCGACATATATCCTCCAATCCCGCGAGCAAACTTCAGGATCGAGAGCCCAAGTTCCGAGCAGCAGCGGAACTTCCGCGGTCAACCGTCACATTGAAAGAATGGATTACCCCCCCATTTCTCGTCGGCCCATGCCAATCCTTCGTTTAAACAAGAACCTGCCTTCCTTTCTTTCGTCCTTTCCTTCCGTATTTCCTTCCTTCTCTCTTGCTCTCTTCATTTCGTTCTTGATTTTTCTATATGTCTAGAAGGTTATGTCTGTCTTTACGTTTCTTTCTTTGCTTCGCTGTTGTTTTATCTCCTGTATCCCTTTCATTTATTATTGGTTTCGTTCTTTCTTTCTTCCTGCCTTTCGCGCGTTCGTTCTTTCTCTCTCCCTGTGTTTCTTTCGTGTATTTATGTCTGCTCTTTATTACTCTTGTCTATATTGTCGTACGCCCTTCCTTTTCTCTGTCCATGTTTCTTTCTTTTCTTCCTTCCTTCCTTGCTTTATGCTTCTTCTTTCTTTCTTGCATTGCGCCTGCCTGCCTGCCTGCCTACCTGTGTGTCATAATTTCTTTGTTGCTTTCACCTTCTCTATTCCTCTCTTTTCTTTATTGATGTGGGGTTATTTCTCTGCATCTTTGTCAACTTGTGGCGTTGGCTATCTATCAATTCCATTCGTTATTTTTCTATGTATGTGCGTGTGTGCGTGTCGTTCTTTATTGCCTTTTTTCCGTTCCATATTTCTGCCTTTTCTTGCTCTACTTCATTCTTTGTGTCTTGTCATGTCTTCCTTTATTCCTTCCGACACTTAACCGTTTCGTTACTGGTCTTTGTCTCTATCCGTATTTGTTTCTTTTGGTAAATCACGTTAAGTAATAGTTGTATCTCTCTCTTTTTTTTCTTTCTTGGTGTCTTTGTTCTTTCTTGCTTCCTTTTCGTTATTCAGTATATCTGTTCTGCTTTTATGTCTTTCTTTCTTGCTTTAATTTTCGTATTGGTTTTTGTGTTTTAGAACCACTAGAACAGTTGCTCTCACTCTCACAGTGACATCATTGACATAGTCGTTCACAAAGCAGCAATGGAAACCTGTCAGTAAAGGAGGAACAAAGCGAACGAAAGAAACCGGTGAAGAACGAACAATAGAAATGAACAAAATAAAGACAGAAAGAAAAAGAAACAAGAAGGAACTGCCTGAAACACACACGCAAGAAAGAAAGAAAGAAAGAAAGAAAGCAAGCCAGAACGAACGAAAGAAAGAAAGAAAGAAAGAAAGAAAGAAAGAAACAAAGAAACACATCAAGAAAGAAGACAAGAAACAAAGAAATGAAGAAAGAGAGAACGGACAGAAAGATGGAAGGAAGGAAGGAAGGAAGGAAGGAAGGAAGGAAGAAAGACGAACACACAGACAGACAAGCAGCAAGAAAGAATGATGGAAGATAAGCATACAGACATTCCTAAAGAAGGACAGAAACAAAGCCCAAACGCCGGCCACCGGCTGAAGAGCAACTACGCACTCCCATACTCCCGTACCCACGCAAGAACCTAGTTCATTCGGAGGGTGCCAAATGCAGCAGGCCTGGTGAAGGAAACCGAAACCCAGCTGGGATGACGAATGTCTCCACTTCCCAAACCTCAGCACCACATGGCGGCTCTATTGATTTGTCCAATGGGTGGGCAGCCTCCGGTTTACAATCAAAAGGCAACTCCGTGGCAGCCAAACAACTTAAATGGAATCGTGCAGAAGCCAGAGGTTCCCCTCAGAGAAAGAGGGGTTTGAGGTCAAACAAGAAAAGTGCAAAGTGGTCACACTAAGCAGGAGTCTCTCTCAAGACTGGAGCCGTCAAAATCCAGATCGATGCGTTGGGTACGGTTTTGATGCGGAATCCTTTGTTGGATCCCCATCAGTAAGGTGTCAAACTGGGTAGGTCTAAAAAAGTACTTCAAGATCCCCAAAAAAGGGAACTACACAAAACACATCCAATTCGCTTCTAGATGCAAGGATGTGTCTTTTGATTCGATGTTTCGGCAAAGGTGCATGGCAGTGAACTCAAGTACGCGCTCCCATTTGACGGCCTGAAAAGAGTCGCCAAGCTAAAACCCACGGGGGGAGGCCCTAAAAGGGGCAGGGGATGTGTAGTCATGAGTGTCGTCATCAATGCTGGTGCGCTGGTTGTGGGGTGCAGTCATCATAGCTGTTTTCACGATCAACAACTTGTCGTTAACATGACTTGTCGCAATTTTTGCATATACTTTTCAGTGTCCCGATAGGCCCTGCTCGGGATGCCAGGGACGCGTAGTCACCATTGTCATCTTCGCTGCTGGTGATAACGGGGGCGCGCAATGATGATCAGCATCATGGCTGTGATGACGATCAGGGTCAACATCATCGTCGACATGATTAGTATCTCTCCTTGGCACGCACGCTGCAAGTGTCTTGACTGCTTGAGGCGCTGGGGACGCGTAGTCATGATTATCATCATCAGGTCCTGGGGGGGTGCGTCATGAAAGAATCGTCATGGCCGTCATCAGGGTCGTCATCATCAAGTCATCAAGATGGCTCGGCGTTGTCGTTCGCGCGCCTTTCAAGTGTCGTGTTCTGTTGCGCTTGAAATGCCGGGGGCGCGTAGTCATGGTTGTCATCATCACCGCTGGCGATGCTGGGGGTGCGTAGTGATGGGTGTCATCATGGCTGCGAACAGGATCATCATCATTGTCGTCATAACTCGTTGTGTTTGGTACAGGTGTTTCAAGTGTCCGCTAGGCCCCACGTGAGAAGCCGGGGTGCTGGGGGTGCGTAGCGATAACTGCCATCATGGTTGTGACCAAAGCACAATCATCATCATCGTCGTCATCACTCGCCGCGATCTTTCGCATATACCTGTCAAGTGTCCCGATGCGTAGTCATCATTTCGTGATGCTGGGGGTGCGTATTGATGGTTGTCATTGTGTCTGCGATCATTCCGTTTGGGCCCGCTTCACAAGTATTTTCATCACTGCTGGTCGTGTCACGCTGATTATCACCAGGGCTGTGGTCACGATCACCATCATCACCATTGTCGCCGTGACTGGTCGTTATCTTTTGCAGATACGGTTCAGGCGCTAGCGCAGCCTTCCCGCGAGGCCTTGCTGGAGATGCAGGATGCGTAGTCACAACTGTTGTTGTCACTGCTGGTGATGCTGACATGCGTTTAGGTCCAAAATCCGGCAACAAAAGCGCGTGCCGAAAATTTCGGAGCACTTCTGCGCACGTGCCGCACGACTCAAGCCACTATGAAGAGGAACGCTTGGATTCAGCGCCCTGTGAAGATATAGTATTTGGCTCTTGATCGCGCACCCCCTTCGGCTTTCGGCTTTGCGTCGGGCAACGCTGTGTAGATTCCCACCCCACTCCCGAAAGCGCCCAGAATATGGTCACACTTGGCAATAAAATTCTCCAGCTTCCCCTCTTCGACATAGTGGGCAGAGTCGGCAGTCCTAAGGTGGTCGCGTTGAAGCCACAAGGTTTTCCTACTTACGGTTGTTCGCTCTTTGAGCAGGCTTCATCTTGCGCACGATGGCAACAGTCCTGATTCGTTTCCTGAGCGCTCCGTTGGTCGCGCCTCTCGCAAGTGATAGCTACAATCACCGCTGAGCTCGCCGAGCCGACCTCAGCCAGCTTATGTCGCCTGAGCCATCATAGCTGAAGGCGTTGCTTCCAGCTTCTTTCACGTTGGCCATCCATACTAGGCTCAGGCTTTGAGGGTCGTGACCCACCACCATCGCCGAACACGCGGTGGAACCTGACCTTGAAACTGCACATGTCGGGCATAGCCGAGTTGACGCAGATAATACACGCCTTACGCGCGCATCACCCGTCCGAGCAGGGCCAGGGTCTTCTCAGTAACCCGAACCTTCGATAATCATGGGGGCCAGTGAGGCGCCGATTCCAGTAGAAAGCGCGGCAAAGCTGGCGGGTAGCCTTTTTTGCGAGCAACGAGCTTTCCTGACAGACACCACGCCGCGGTCCGTCAAAGAAGCACGTCTAGCGCAGATCTTCTTTGAAGAAGAAGAACCATGCCTCGCAAACGTCGTCCTTGCAACCCTCGCAAACAAACTCAGGCCTAAGATGAGGCCAGCCACCGTCGTCATATTTACACCTGAGGAAATTTTGTCACACGGCCATACGGATTACCTTTGGATCTTCCGCGTTTTTCGCTACAGAACTCTGCTAGCTGCAGCACCTTGCCCTCGATCATTCGCATGTGTCGCCATCAGTGAGAAGGCGAAAATGATCTCTTCCACCTTTCTGCTGCGGACAGTGGAGACTCACATGTTCTGAGTGTCCTGCTGATCTGTTTCGGGCTTGCGCTCCCTAAATAAGAAGTCCATCTTTCACCGGGCTCCTGCTTTGCGGATTCAGCGTACGCGTTGGTACTTTTCCTGGCATTATCCCACTTCGGAAAGAACCGTTTGCTTCTGCAATCCGGCTGTTGAACTCACCAGCCCATCCCGACGGTTGCACGATGGGTAGAACGCTCGATTGCCTTGAACTTCAGATTAACTTTCAGAAGATATCTCATTCTTTGATGAAGTCCTGTAGTTCCTTCCCTAGCACGCTTAGCCATCTCCAAGGCCGTTGACGCAGCATTCGCACACACCGTGGTGACACGCAAACAACGATCAATCTCAAACTTCCAAGACCCTACCGCAGCGGCAAGTTGTTTGACACGTTGCTCGTTGTTGGACTTGGCTTTGTTGATGAGTCTCTCGGTCTGAATAGCCAGAGCAGCGATAATACCCTCAGCGTTTTGGGGCGAATTTCACCCTGAGGGCTTTGCCCTGACCCACTACCCCTACATGCGCAAAGATCGACCACAACCTGGTTGGACTTAGGAGGCGATTGAAACCTGCAGCATTAGGATTGGCTTGAATATGGAGACGATCTACGTGCGTCTCAAAACAATTGAGATATTCAGCACGAGCGCTCTGAGTCAAGAAAAAAGCTGCGCTGACACTCCAGAGGGCAGCCTCCTGCTCCCCGCGGCCATCCGCGTCGCCAAGATGGCTTGCGCATAACTATTTTGGCAGGCCAAACCATGACCGGACTTCAGCCAGTTTTAGGAAAGATGCGTGTGGAACTCCAGGCGCGACACCGGGTTCGCCATCCCGTCAAGTTAAAACATGCCAGCCAGGGCGAGTAGTCCGTTTGTTTTTAGTTTTGTGGGTTTTGCACTTTTGTGGGCTGATTTTCGCACCTTTCCAACTGTCTGACTTGCAGTGGTCATCTTGCGCGGCCAAAAGACATGTAGGGGGTCAGGTGGATTCCGAGGTGGGGCTCCCATCGCCAGGACTGCAACCACCGTGCCCCTTGCCCAAAAATCCGCATCCTTGAAGTCCGCGGCGTTGCTCCCGCCACAAAACAAGCACGAACCTTGCTAGCCACCAGACCATCCCAATTGGGCCACCCCAAAGGCAAGCTCTGCGGTCATGTCAAGGAACCCCACCAGGAGCTCCATGACGCCCTGCGTGTTCTGCCCGTCTCTCTTGGGAAGCCAGGAATGAACACCGCAAGGCGCATCCCCGTCCGGCCCAGATGCAGCGCATAGGCGCTTCGAGGCTGGCTAAGTTAAGTGCCAGTGGCGCTACGCCATGGTCAGCGCTTGAAACTGTAGGCGAAGCGCCACAGCCGACCCAGCGCTGGGCCATTGGTAGTGCCTTCTGCACTGAAAAAAAGAACGTGTCTTTTTGTGTTTGCAACCGTTGTTTCCTGCGATGGAAAACAAAGGTATAGATGCTACGAGGAGACAAATAGAGGGTTGCTGCGGCTGCGATGCGTGCAGGTTAGAAAGGTTGCTACAACAAAATAGAAGAGGACTTCTCCGCTAGATGGATGTTGTTGAACTGAATCAAATGGCACCAGATGCGCCTACCAAACATATTGTCGACATTAGTCGCTTGCGAGCGCGCTGTGAAAGTTGGAGTCTGCGTGTCGATGATTGGATGCATCTGTTCAGTTTTTTGTTCAATCGCCGGCAGCGAAGTGCCACACGCGCGCTGGCTCAGCGCGCGTGTCGCAGTAGCGTGGTTTCGCCTACGATCTCTGGCGAGCAACGCAGCCACGAGGAACCAGCCTCAGGCCGCAAAGTCACCGCACATGCCGGCGGCTGAGGCTGCATTTTTGCCTGAGTTTGTCGACTGCTCAGCAGCTCAGACTGCCACGCTGAGCGATCAAGCTGCAAAATCGCCGCGCGCCCCGCATGGTTGCTACGCGCGCCGACTCAGGCCGCGTGTTTATGTCGCAGTACTCTAGCGAAAGTTGGCTTGGGGCTGCGCAGCACCGCAGCCTCGACAATCCAGCCAGCCGCAAAATCACCGCCAGTCTTGCTGGGGCGCTGCGATGCGCCGAGGGTTTGCGTAGGCATAGGGGCAAAGCTAAAAGATACGTAGCTAAGTGATTAGGCAAGGGTTAGCCAGGGGTTAGCTGACTAGTTAGCGAAACAAGCTGCTTACTACATGTTGCGCGAGTGTCAAACGCTGCTCACCACTATGCAAATACACGCTGCGCATGTGTAAAAGGTATAGGCCATAAGAGCCCATGATACAAAGGCTCATGCGTGGCCAGTCAAAGCAAGCTCATGCTGCGCACTGTTGC